TGCACCCCTATGTTTATCGCAACACTATTTACAATAGCCAAGAAATGGAAGCAACCTAAATGTCCATCAGTAGATGAATGGATAAAGAAGAGGTGGTGCATATACACAACGGAATATTATTCAGCCATAAGAAGAAAACAAATCTTACCATTTGCAACAATATGGATGGAGCTACAGGGTATTATGCTCAGTGAAATAAACGATGTGGAGAAAGACAAGTACCAGATGATTTCACTCATCTGTGGAGTGTAAGAACAAAGAAAAAACTGATCGACTAGAACAGTAGCAGACTCACAGAACCCAAGAATGGACTAACAGTTACCAAGGGAAAAGGGACTGAGGAGGGTGGGGAGGAAGGGAGGGAGAAGGGGATTGAGGGCTATTATGACTGGTACACGTGGTGGGGGAGGGGGGAAGGCGCAGGGAAGGCAGAATAACACAGAGAAGGCAAGTAATGATTCTATAGCATCTTACTATGCTGATGGACAGTGACTGTAATGGGGTATGTGGTGGAGACTTGATAATAGGGGGAGTCTAGTAACCATAATGTTGTTCCAGTAATTGTACATTAATGATATCCAAAAAAAAAAAAACACACACAAAAGCCTTGTACATGAATTTTCACAGAAGCATTATTCACTAAAGACCAAAGAGTAGAAACAACCCAAATATCCAACTGATGTGCAGATAAATAAAATATGGTATTGGCCTATATTTATTCATATCCATACAGTGGCATATTACTTGGCGATTAAAGGAATGAAGTAACATCTGCAATATAAAGAATCCTGAATATATTACTTTAAGTGAAAGGTATCAGTCACAGAAGGTCACACATTTATACAGTATTTTCAGAATAGGTAAATTTATAGACAGTAGATTAGTGGTTACCCAGGAATGGATATGAGACAGGAAGTGTTCGGAGAGTAACTGCTAATAGGCATGAGGTTTTTTGGGGAAAGATTTTTTTTAATGTTTTAAAATTAGATTGTGGTAAAAGTTGCACATCTGTGAATAGACTAAAAATCACTGAATTGTACATTTACAATTCTGTGGTACGTAATTATATTTTGATAAAGTAGTTTAAAAAACAAAACCAAAAGGCAACAGAAAAACACTGAGAGCAGAGAAAAAAAGAGGATAGGAGGTAAGAAGGTGCTCAAGCAAGCTTTATCCCTTTTGGAAATATTTGATAGTATTTGTGCCAGTATGCTGGCTGGGATCTGAGTTAAGAGAACCAGACTCACTTGGAAGGCTAGAAACCTTTTCTCAGTTCAGCACAGATTAGCCTTGTTCATTTTTTCCCGTTTCAGCTCAGTTAGTCCTCCATCTCTCCACTTGGGATGAGAAAAAATGGGTATGCCTGTCTACACCCTCATCTTACACATGAGTATAATATTACCTAAAATGCATCCTTCTCTATTCTGAGAATATGGAGCCTGTAGATGTCAAATAACTGTTTCTTCATCTACATCCTGTTTAGGAAGTTCTGATATCTAAGTGGGGAACATATTGGAAAGAGAGTCACTGTTAGCCCTCACGGAAGGAAACATATAGTGCAGATTTGTATGTCAACAAAGGGGTTCGAACTCCTACTCATAGCAACCAGAGAGGGACAAAAGAAAATGAAAGGAGAGGGTAAGACCAGCAGGAAGAAAGGTATCTTGGGGCCTTCCAATGGCTCTGTTATCCTATTGTTCCCTGAGGCTTTACTTTATTCCCTCTCCAGCCCTCACTCACTAAAGCACTCCTGTTCTTACTTTGCTTGCCAGAGAAGTAAACACATGAAATTTGCTGCACACTTACAATCCCATAAAGTTCAATAAAAATACAGCCATTGCTTAAGAACATAGGTTAGGATTATGAAAACACTGATACACCAAAGCAGAAAGCCTCTACTTCCAAACAGCTGATAACTGAGAATGTAATAGTAACTAGCTTTTCATACATTTCAATCATTGCCCACCAGTACTCAATCCATTTGAAAACTGCCAACTATGATATAATTATTAGCCTTTAAGAACAAGCTAGACCACTAACAAACTAGATCATTACTGAACAGACAAATCTGTGCTATAGGCAAAAGGTTCTATATTGTCCAATCCCTTAAACAAACTTTATGCAAAAACCAAAATACTTTAAATCTTGTGACAAACAAAATAAATAAAAAATAGGAAAATATTTTAAATACTTGGAGAAATAGTAAGACATATAATGGAATCTGAAGACAAAAAATAAAGTAAAGCAATTTCTATCTTTACTTTTATGTTCCTGTCTGTGGACAAGTTTTTACAATTGTATTATACTAAAAGAAAAAAAAGTTCTTACTTTAGATAAGAGATTGTTTAATTCATGAGGATGAAGCTTCACCACTTCTCCAAGTTGCTGTGCAGCAGCTTTTCTTGTAACTGGAGTAGTGCCAGTATCCAGTAAGATAAAAAGTCGGTCAAGCCTAAAATAACAAAAATGTAATGGTTATTCTAAAACCTGTTTCCTGGTATGTATACATCTGAGTCAATAAATGTATTGAGCAATTATGAACAAAGACCTATGCTAGGGTGGGAGGAGAATCTCTACTCTCAAGAGCTTGCTATGGGGGTGAAAAGAATGGTTAAAGCAAGTACACAAATTAGTAGAATACATAATACAATAAGATATGTGTCAGAAAAGAAGTGCTCTGAGGAATAGGAAATACTATATTCCCTACTGTGTAATAGTGAAAAGGCTTCATAAAAGAAATGGTCTATGAGGTAGATCTTAATGGTAGACAAGATTTCAAAACTGGTGGAGATGAGGTGGGGAAAAGGAAAGGGGGAGAAATATTTGGAAGAGGGAATAACAAGCACAGCAATAAGAAATGGGAGACTATTATTTAGAGATGTGAATTAACACTGCTGGGTTGTAACTCAGGGTACATTTAAGAGAACAGTGGGAGATACAACTACAGAAGTAGCTAGAGCCCCCTATTGTGGAGACTTTTAAATGTATAGTCTAACCATGAAGGTGTTGAGTCAAGAAACTGACAGGAATGGAGCTATATATTAAGAAGATTAATCTAGCAGTAATGTGAAACATGAAGTAAAATGGAAGACAACTTTTAAGAAGAATCTTAGATTAAAAGTACAGAAATGAACTACTATCACAGAAGACTAGAAAGAAGTTGGGAGAAATGTTAAAGAATTAAAGCATACATGATATAGTATTAGAAATATCAAGGAAATGAATGGATTCTGAGACTCACATTCTGAGGAAATGAAGATGTCATGAAAAGAAATGGGAAGAACTAGTGGAGGAAATATTATGGAAAAAGATGACAAGTTTACTGGTGGCGAGGACAGGACAGCTAGGAGAGACCAAACTGGATAGTTAGAATAGAGATGTGAAGTGCAGGAGAAAGTTGAGGCTAAAGGTATACAGGTATGTGAATAATCTGTACAGAAGTAACAGAACAATAAATAAGATCTCTGAGGAAAGACTTTATAAAGGCATACAGCATAACAGAACAAATTCCAGAGCCACAGCACCAAGGTTCAACTTCCAGTTCTGCCATTTATCCAATGGTTAGAATTTGGAATAAAATCACAATGCCTTATATCTGGAATAAGTGGGGAGAAGTAGAAAACTGTTTTACTTTGTTTTTTGAATACAGGAAAATCCTAAGGCTTTAGAAAGGCAAAGTCACAAGTAACTACCACCACCACCACCAGCTGTCCATGTATTCATATAGGTCTAGTCCTCTCATCACACTACTAATCAGGCTCAATGAGGCAAAACGGTTATCACAGTAATGAAAGGAAGGCAGCTCCAAATATGGAATAAGAAACATGGATGGTGGCAAGGGGCAAGGTTATATTGTGGCCCAATCCTATAGGAGAGGAAATTTAGTATACACCTTCAAAATTTAATCTAACAAGAAAGAGAATGCAAGCAAGGTCCCAAAGCTAACCATGAGCATTAATAAACTGCAAAGATGCTCGTATTTTGCTTTTGGGATTCTTTTTCTCTAATAACTAAAAATTACAAAGCAAATCTCTTAAAGCCTTTTATAAGAAAAAATAAACCTATATAAAATGGACATGAGTTGGTTTTTTTTTTGTCTCTTCTTCTCTTTTTCTGGTAGTACTTATCAAACTAGCCAGTCACTAATAAGCACAAAACCATTATTACTGGTAAAGAAAATAACAAAAAGATTGTTTTAGTCAAGAAGGCTAAAGTCTCTATGAAAGTTTTTCAACCACTTCAAAACAAAACAAGAGGCAAGGTTCAATTTATAGTATGTAAGAAGGACATATTTCAAGAAAAATATTTGAGGGCGGTTAAAGCCAGTGACATAAAGAAAAAAGAGTAATACAACACAGTTTTTGCTTCCAATATACTGAATGGCAGACAGAGTAATTATAAAGAATTTATTTTTATAAGACAAAAAAAAATAACTTATTTTATACATACACTTTACATAGACACATCCAGCCTTTTGACACAGCATTTCTCCTTATTCATTCAAGGCTATCTAAATACTTGCCTACACCTATTCATTCATCAGTTTTTGCTACAGGATTTTGTAAACAGTGACTCAAAGATAGTGGGACAAAAGAAAGGGAGAAAAAAAAAAATTCTGACAGCTGGTGTTCTTAGATGTTCTAAGGCTAAGTGAGACCCCAAATCCCTTTGTCATAATATGACATCCTTCACCCATTCCATACATAAGTCTCAAAATGACCTCTTGACTTATTTTCACCTTTAAAACTGGTTGTGATGTTAAACTTCATGAGAATCCTCTCTGAACCTTCACAAGTATCTGCATATTGTCATGATCATGTGATTTTAAATACCTATGCTCAATGAAATTTACAAAAAGAAATTTTAAACACCTATGAACTTTCTATATAAGTATCAAGAAAATATTCATTTAAAATCTTCCATATTATAGCAAGCAAAATCACCAAAAATTTTAAGTAAGTTTTAATATAAAGAATGTTAGTCTTAGGGCAAATTGATGCTACAATGGACTTATATTTGTATATGCTACATGTAACTTATTACATTAGGCTCTCTTGTACATTGTACAGTTCACACAGATCCAAGACTTTCCTATAGAAAACAACATAAAACATACTAGACTAGATGTTAGGAGGTCTTTAAAAGTCCTACTTCCGTCATTTTGTTAGAGGACTCAGGGAAACTCACTTAACTTTGCTTACCCTCTTAGCTTGGAGGGAAAAATTAGACTTAGCCATCTTTTATAGCTTGTGATAGTTTCTGGTTTTGTATTTTTATGTAGTTATTTTTTCCCTTATATAACATGTTTGTCCTATCTTTGACTTACTTAATGCCAAGTTCTTTAGACTGCACCTCTGGGAAGATTTCAATTACTTTGTAATTCCTTCTCCATGACAGAGTTTCTGCTTTTTGTGACCAAATGCAAAGCTGGCTGAAAAATGAATACTCTAAGGAAGTGACAACACTAACCTATTTATAAATCTAGGTATAAAAAGTTAAAAGTTAAATTGACAGTTTTCAAAGTTTTCCCCTATCATTTACTTATACTTTTCTCAAGCCCCAATTACCACTCCCTATTCCTTAAAAAATAATGGACTGCTTCACTGAGTAGATCTCTAGGCTAAGTAAGGAACAGAAAATCATCTCAAGTTCTCTCCTCACTATCCCTAAAGATTGGTCTTTACACTTATCATCTGTTTCAAATGAAAAGATAGCCTTCATTCCTCTTCAAGGCTTAAATACTGTACCACTGTGTTCTTGATACCACTCCCTTTTATTCTCATTCAATTATCCTTTCTACAGTTATCTTAAATTACTGCCTTATTAATGCATTTCTTTATATCTTCAAATATGCATAAATCTGTCTCTAGTGAGAAAATAAACTGCTTGACTTCTACCTGCTAGAACATTTTATTTTTATTGCCAAGCATCTTAAACAAGTGTTTAAAATCAGTATTTCCTACCTATACAAAATTTAATCCTTATCAGCCAAATTTCTATCCTTCTCTACTACTACTGAAACAGCACATTTGAAGATCACCAATGAACTTGTAAGGTCCAAATCCATGTTTGTGTTTTTTTGGTAAATCTAATTTTCTTGACTTTTATAACATGCAGTATCAGCAAGTATCCTGTTCTTAAAAGACTTCCCTTCCTAAGATTTCACATGATATTACCCTGTTCTTCTCTGAACTCTATTTTCTTGACTTCCCTATTATTACCACTCTTAATACAAATTCTCCCATATTCAGTCCTTGGCTGCTCATCTCTCACCCATTTCTCCCTTAAGAAACTATACTGTTATTTGCTTAAACTATAACACAGTAAATATAATTCCCAAATCTAGCCCATAAGGGAGTTCTACTGCCACACCTTCAACTACCCAGTGAGCCTAACCCCATACTAATGTGATCTTATTGAAGAATTACTTCCTAAAGCACCCTTTGGTCACCTTACTGCAAAATTTTCAGTGGCTCAACCTTCGTATAAGATGGCAATAAAAAACAAAAAGTATTTCCCAAACATGGGCCCTCTTGGTTCCTATAGTTTTGTTTGAACTGTTTTCTCCATTTGCAATGTCTGTTCTTGGTTCAATTCTTTAGCTCCCATCCATCAAAATTTAAAGTTCTTTACCATCTTGAAACCACCTCTGACTACTATACTATAGAAATTACTTTCTGTTCTGAAACCCACATGAATTCTCATCTTGGCCAATTTGGTACTTATTATGCTTTTCTTCTTAGCATCTCCAAAATTAATTTGTCACATGATATCTTTTGCTCATTAGGCTTTATTGCCTTCAATGATTCTTTTTGTCCCCCACAATACTTTGCACATTGTCTTTGCACAGTATTTAAATATTTGGTAAATGGTATTTACCGTAATTAAAATCATAAAGAAAAGCTGAAGTTTCTTGGAGGCAAGTTTAAGCACCAGTTTTAAGCAAGAAAGAGTATGCTACATCACAGTAATTATTTTTTTGCTTATTTTGAGAAACATCCTTAAGCTGTAATACCTGTATTACATTAAAACAAATTATGAAAATAATAGAACTGATGCTGAGTAATATGTTTCAGTAAGTGAAAAAAAAATCAGCACATAAGTACTTCAGTATTCTAAACATCAAGGTAGTTATGCTTGCTCCAGACAAGTAAGCTAGACGAGACCATGCAGCAGGCACTGTTTCTTTCATTAATTTCCACCCTTCCTAAACCTTCCTTTAGTCCCCTGCCAGCTTCATCAGAACCACACTCCTGCCCAACACCTTCAACTCCCCTCTAACCTAATGCTGATCCTGTCTCACAGCCACACAGTTCCTCTTGCTGCTTCTTTCTGCAAAACTTTTTATCCCAATGGCATGTCATGCCACCTCCATTACTCCACCTGCCAACTGCCCTGAGGGCAGCAGATCAGCTCATTCTCTCATCCAATTCCAGTTCCATTTACTCTCAC